CCTCACTAAAATGCTCATAGAATACCGAAAACGTGAGATATTTTCAAAATTTATGTATATTTGCATTCAGAAAGAGTCCGGCTATCAAAATTTACCAAAAAGTGAATTTGTGAAAGTCGACTAAATATTTGTCACACACAAAACCATGCTGCTCTATTTGTTGATGATGAGGGTAATCCTATGTCCAGAAATTTTTTCCTACTACATGTGAAACAAGTCTTATCCAGGTTAGGTTTTGATGATACTAGGTACTCAGGTCATTCCTTCAGAATTGGAGCTGCCACTACAGCAGCTGCCGTTGGTATTCAAGACCATTTAATCCAGTCATTAGGTCGATGGAATTCAGACTGCTATACAAGGTATATCAGAATCAATCAAGATACAATTCAGTCTGCACAAACAAAAATGTGTTCAATTTAAGTGGTTTCCTTTTTCATCATTTATCTTCTTGGGGGCATTCACTCACATCAATACTTAGTACCCACTACTGCTTGATGTTCATTCATTTTGGCCTGTTTTCCCCCATTTCAGATAAATTTTTTCTGCATTATATAATTAATTATAGCTACCCGATGGTGTCAACCCGGGTCCTTTCATGTAAACCTGATGGTGTCAACCCAGGTATCTCGAAATTATCCCAAGTATCTCAAAATTTAACCTGACGGTGTCAACCCAGGTTCCATTCATTAGAACCCGATGGTGTCAACCCGGGTACCCTCATACACAACCTGATGGTGTCAACCCAGGTTTCTATGGTTACAGTTTTAGTTATAAATTCCTGACGGTGTCAACCCAGGAAGTTCTTTTAAATTTTTCTATATGTGAGTAGCCCCCGAGAAGGCCAAAATTTATTGTGTAAATGAAATGTATGATAGAGTTGTTTTGTTTTTTCTTTATGTTTGATTTGTGTTCAATAAATGTGGAAATTTGAATGGCTCTTATTATATGTATAAAATGATATTTTTTATGTAAGAAAAAATTTTGTTTATACATAACCTTCAAGTTTTTCATGTGTACCTAAATTTTCTCCCCTATACATTTTGTTAGTTATTGAACTACTAATTTAACATTCATTGGGTGAATTCATGTAGTAAGATTTGCAGTGTAATTTTGGTTAAAGTGTTGTAAATCTAATCGAATTTGTAAAAACATTCATTGTTTGACACTTAGACAAAGAAGCTATTTTTAGAGAGATTATCTGTCTTAGGAGCCAGAATTTCATGTCCATATTAGGTAATGCATAGTGCGAGGGACAGGAAGATTTCCGTAGCCACGTGACCCCCAAACTAATCCGCATCAAATTTCATGTAACATCATCATTCCTTTGTTCTAACTTCAGCTGGATGTACATGCTCTGTGTTTTTTGTTATCCCACCCACCTTCCCCAGACTGCACCTTTTGAAATATTATGTTTCAAAAATGTTTTAAAATATTTAATTGTACATGTATATACCATCATTGGGGCTCTCACAATTTTTTATGTATTCATGTTCAACTGCCTGTTTGGCCTGTTTTCCCCCATTTCAGATAAATTTTTTCTGCATTATATAATTAATTATAGCTACCCGATGGTGTCAACCCGGGTCCTTTCATGTAAACCTGATGGTGTCAACCCAGGTATCTCGAAATTATCCCAAGTATCTCAAAATTTAACCTGACGGTGTCAACCCAGGTTCCATTCATTAGAACCCGATGGTGTCAACCCGGGTACCCTCATACACAACCTGATGGTGTCAACCCAGGTTTCTATGGTTACAGTTTTAGTTATAAATTCCTGACGGTGTCAACCCAGGAAGTTCTTTTTAAATTTTTCTATATGTGAGTAGCCCCCGAGAAGGCCAAAATTTATTGTGTAAATGAAATGTATGATAGAGTTGTTTTGTTTTTTCTTTATGTTTGATTTGTGTTCAATAAATGTGGAAATTTGAATGGCTCTTATTATATGTATAAACGTTAAAATAGAAGTGCAGAGTCATTCTCTATAATGACTTGGAACTTTTATAAAGCAATCGAGATGTGGCACGCATGATTTCAGGATATCTCCAAACTTTCTATAATAAAAGTATTTGAAACCGTAAACTCTACTTAGGCTAGGTGTGGTTACTATGACAACTATGGCAACCTGTCTTAAAAGTTCGGAAAATGAAATAATTTTTAAACATGTTCAGTCCTGAACAATTGCAGCAATGCAAACAAGTGTCAATGACGGTAGACTAGATGCTTTGCATGCATGAAAAACATGTTTGGTTACTATGGGAACAAAGTATTCAAAACTGATACTTTTTTTTCATTTAATGTTAAAACGTCTTACTCTTAAATATAAAAATCGATTAAAGGGTTGAAATTCAACTAAAATACATGTAATAAAGAAAAGAGTGTTGTAACATTTACCAATGCAAGGTTGAAATACGATACTAGTATTTCTAATTGGTCGGCAATGGTTGTCATGGTTTGAATACCATAAATGTACTGTAAATTTTACTCTATATTATTATCTGATCCAGTTTGTTTAAAAGGCATATTTAAATGGTTAAAAAATAAGTTTTTCTGTGTGGTCTTAATTTTCACGTTTCAAAAAGAAAATTAAGAATAATTTATGAGGGTTTTTTTAATTGTGAAACACATAGTGTGTTGCTGTGGAAATTGGCATAAACGTATGCATAAAAAATGAAAAATATTTTGTTCCCTTGAATGAAATGACCCATTTTTTAAATTGATTTTTATAAACAGTAACCTAGCTCTTAATTTTGATTGCCATACACTCTCAAACTGGGTGCAAGAAGCTGGAACATAGGGTAACAAAATCGAACAATTTTCCTTCTTGGTGACCATAGTAACAGTGTTGTTTTCTTTATCAAATTTTATCCATATAAAATATTCAACTTTTAAAAGTAATCTAACAGATAAGAACTATTCAAGGTGAGTCAAATGTTTTTTTTATCAAAATGCAAGTAAATTCGTCTAGAAGAAAAGAAACATCACTTTAAACCAAAGGTATTTTGTTTCCAATGCAGCATAAGTAAGGGAAGTTGACAATCGAAAAGTTAAAGTCATCACGTTTATCTAGGTAGAGATTGGTTGCTCGATCACCATTTACGTCTTTTTTAAGTAAAATATCCAAATGTGTCAGACTCTGTGGTATGTTTTATCTCATGTTCACCGGGATATATCTTATCTACATAAGAACTGAAATAACCATTGTTGTATCATGGCTGCGGTGTTTTTCCTTTGAAGTAAAGTGTACAATAACTGGAGATACACCGATGGGCGGAGCCAGCAAAAACTGTGCCGTGTAAATAAATTATTGAACACCAAGGCGGTTTCATCATTCTAAATTACATGTATATTGAATGTGAATTACAGAATGAAATGGGCTATACAAAGGCTAAATTTCTGCAAGTGAAATAAAAGTCTTTCACATAAATTACAGTGCGTATCCCAAACTACGAAATGCTTTTACGGAACTTTGCAAATATTCAATCCTCCGCAACGAGAAATCAAGTTCTCACTTATTACATTTGAGATAAAGACTGTTATTGTCGAGAAATCACGAATTTCACACGGAATTATATTAAATTATCACATCTATTGTAATATATAGCGCTTTAGCAAAAAATACCATCTTTGCCGTGTTCTTTGCTCAACGAGTATAAGTGCAGATGTACTGCATCCACAGATGAAGACCCTGACACAGCGTTTTCGTGAATGCGACAGCTCTTAAATATGTCAAATGATCAACGGGAATCTTTCTTCTTGATTTTCGAATAACATCTGAATTTTCCTTCTTAACTTCGAATTTTTCCTGTTTGATATCCAAAGGTTTTCTTGTGATATTCACAAAAAAAATCCGTGCTTAAATAACGACGGGATGCTGCAATCCGACATCCTTTCTCATGAACACACACACGTAAAATGATTTTATTAAAAATACTGGCAGGAAGGAGAGATTATCCATGCGATAACCTGACAAAAACTACATTTTCTATTGGTGTAATTAAAACTCATGCATATTATTTGTGATATGACGTTTGATTGGCCATGATACAAGAAAGTTATTGAATATTTATTATGGTGTATCCTGATTTATTTGGACGAAGGGCGGAGACTCGTGCTTCGCACTCGTCACCGCCCTTCGTCCAAATAAATCAGGATACACCATAATAAATATACAATAACTATTACTTAATTGACAACAAGTCGTCGTATTCTTATTTGCCAGTGTTGAATTTTCTTTTTTTTTCATCAAGATTGTAGTATTTACTCAATCTAAGTAACTGATTTTGCTTGGTTACACTGTGTTAACATGGCAACCACAAAAGTTTTTTTATACAGAATATTTCTAATATCTTTTTTTAAGGAGAAATATTTTCATAATTTGTTAAGTTGTTGATTGAGTTTAATCATGTAACACCTACCATTAGTGATTACTGGGAGCTTATAGGCATTTATCACATTTTTTTTTCATTTTTGCTAGCCGAAGGTTTCCTATCCGGAATCTATTGTAGAGTTGATTTCGGATCGGAAACCCTTGGCTAGCCAAATGCACCCATGATTACTACTCATTTAGAGATACATTCTACTCAATTTCTTTAGAGCTTAAGTGGCAATAAGGGTGACGTACGCGTGTTTTTGTGAGAATGTTAACTTTTGTTTTTAGTTTTTATTAAAGTTAATAAAGATTTAAAATAGCCGAAAATCTCAATTATTTAAACTTTCCTGTTGTTACAAATGCATAAAAAACAAATGCAACCAAGACACAAAGCAACCTTTCATTTAAGTAATTAATTAAGAAATTAATTTTGTATTCCTACAGGAAACCACATTCAACAATTTTAAAGTAAACGAATTTTTTTAAAAATTAAAATACATATATCTACTACCATTTGTAAATCAAACACTTGTTTTTTGCAACTGTGATTAGTGTTTGTTTTAAATATTTATAAGATACCTTTTTAAAGAAAATTATAAAGAGTGTCATAAAATCCTCGAACACATGTAAAAACATTCAACTGTTTAATTATAAAATACACTATTTTTACAGTCACACATAAAAGGCAAAAAATATTCATGATTTCCCTATTTACCTGTGTAAATTATCAAAGCTTTAAAGATGGTTATATGTATACACTGAACGATTTACATCGATGAAGAGACATATTCATGCGTAGCTTATATTTAGTGGGTCAGTTATTTGTAGCTGTGACTCTCTGTCCCACCATGACCAAATCCTGGAAAGGAAAAAAAGCTGATTAGTTACATTTTCCCGGGTTTGGGATGGTACATTGCTTCTTACTGGTTAGTAATTGTCGTAAAATATCAAGATATATATCAATAATATGATACACGTAGAGACCTTTCACTTCAATTTAGCACACTTTGTCTTTGCATCATTTATCGGGTTAATTCAAGAAAACATTTATTTATTGTTTATCTTATGTGTGTTTAAACATTTGAATAGAAGGATTTCTCTGCATTATAAGTGCTTTAATTTATGCACGTTTACAGATGATTGACTTTTATAAAGAATTAAAGTCATGTTACCTTTAGGACCGAATAGGGCTGCGTAACAAGGATTATTGCAGTAAGGTTTACCATCTCTCTAAAAATACATCACATTATTATTAATTTTTTCATGTGCAATATCACTTTATGTAGCAAAAAAAAATCAATAAAAAATGTAAAATGTGCCTATACATTTCCATGTTTCATAAAATTGAGGGGTTTTTTTCTTTTTCTTTTTTTTTTCTTTGCTATAGACTGATACTTATGTTGCTATAATGTATTGAATTTGAGGTTTTGAAGATAACTGCAGTAAATGGTAACTTTTCTTGTATGTTACATAAATTTTTCTTAGGCCTCCACGATAACAACCTGGAATGCTCTTAAACCTATAATAGAAGTAAATGTTTCTTTCCATTGATTACACACATTACCTCAGCATGGCTTCCCGGGGTTAGAGTCTTATTACATTTTGCACATTTTAAACATCCCCGATGCCAGTCTTTCCCGATTGATGTCACCTTTTCGGCTATAATAAGAAGATAAAGAATTAAAAGTTGTTTCGTTTTTTATAAAACGTCACCTACAAAAGTACTTGACCTACACTATAATTTTTTCAAACACAATTAAAAACGTTATTATTTGGAAGCAAGATTATTTATTAATTGGGGGCTTTTTTTGACAGACATTTTTCTCAAGTAATCTTTTTTCTCCTCCCCGCATTTCGTTAAAATAGCATACTGTCGGTGGGAAAAAAGTATTCATATATGTAGCACTGAATTTTTTTCTGTTAGAATTATTCTTGTAAATCTAGTAATTTATCACGGTCAAAGAAAAAATGAACTTGATATGTGTCTTTATTTCCTATCGCTTGTGGTTCTGGTGTTATCGGGTTTTCATATATACTTTGTGAATTTATGGCTATATATCGCGATGCCATTTGATCACATAACCTTTGTGTCAAAAAACCAGTCCGTAAAATTTTTATCTTCACCTGTATTTTGTTTTTTAAAACCTCTGAACTGTACCTGTGTTGTGCCCTAACTGTGCACAAATATTTTCTGAAAGTCAAAACCTGTTTTGTAGAGATATCTTTCAAGCTTGATTGAAATATCCAAATAAAATATTAAAGCAATTTTTTTCAGTTACATTTTCGATAATTGCATTCATTTCTGTAGTCTATATACATGTACATGTAGTTATCGAATTGATGGTCTTCTTTTTTTACTGCAAGAAACCACACCATGCCTCAAAAAACAGCAGAATTGTGTGATGAAACAATATGCTTATAATGTGCACATAATTAATCATTTCTCAAAAAAACATCATTGCTAAATTGATGTGTATTTTGCTTGTCATCGATCTGCATCGTGTAGAAAATTTAAATAGGCTGTATTTTTACGCAAGGATTTAAAATGATAAATGATAAACGCGATTGCATGGTATAAAGTCGAACTACTGCAAAATGCATGCATGAAATGTAAAAACTCCTCTACATAGGTGCAGGTATATGGGGCAAGATGGATTATTTAGGTGACAGCAAAAATAACATTGGGTAACTGGCTAAAGGATAATAAAATAAGCAGAGTTTGGGTCGGCTACTTGACTTTGTTGTCAGTTCCAGTTTTCTTTACTCACAATAAATTAAGATTATACAGAGGTGTAGTTCGTATGTCTTCAGTCACGACGTTAAAAGATAAAATTCATTACCCATTATAGTCTTTAAAATTTTGACAGGATTTTGCAGAGAATCGTCATATTTAAAAAGAAAAATGTTATCACGATGCATCAAGTGAAGACTTGCATGTGGTAGGCAGTTATACAATGTTAGCAATGAGAAAACATTGATTAAAATATGTAAATATCCCTGGAGTCAAAATCCGCAATTTTAAGTGACACGGAAAGAATGTCGATTGTTACTTCAATACTTTCTTGCACAATAAGTAGGCAGTAATCTATTACGTATATATGAAAGGCCCTAATCTTCAAAGGGATATTATACTAAAAGACACATGTTTTTTAACTCGTTGAGAGATAACCGTTTTCTTCCTGTTTTATTTGTTAGGCATTTTTAGCGCATTTACTGCTTTTGAATTTACATCGCCACAAAACATAAACTTTTAAATTAAATGCAACTTAGATTTATGATCCACGCCATGTATATGTTCTTTTTTCCAGAATGAATTATTGATCGCATTGTCTAATATTTATTCTATGATTTACAAATATATATCCTGCCGAGTAATGACTCACTGAATAAATGAACATTACAGTTTTACGCAAGTTTTCAACAAGGAAACGCCCCTCACTGCACCACTTCACAGTGATCTACATCTTCACATTTAATATAGATATAATATCTTATCTCTTAAAAATAAATAATCTGTTAAGACACCTATCTTTTTTTCTGTCGAAAAGATGCTATTTACACTTCATTCATCCTATGAACTCCAGTTCACAGTGATAACATTACTACACAATAAGACTCTATGCGTAACAAAATATATCACTTCAATAAGGACCAACTTCCTTATATGGTCACCATCTTATTCCTTATGATTATTGAAAAGCAAATTTCCTTAATATGATATAAAAACCTACCGAAATAAACTTCTTTGTTGCACGTTGGGCACTTAGGCATGGTTATTCAATATAAGTATTTCTTTAATTGTCGATAGACAAGTTGCAGGTTGTGTCACCGAATGATGTCGTCTGAAACGTGAAAAACGTTACGGAACACCAAAACCGCAACATTTTTATAAAAACGAATTAAGTTCTTCCTTACGGCTGCGTAGTCAATATTCATTAAAATGTTTCTACTATTATATAACTATAGTGTATTATATCTAATTTGATATTTGAAATATACCACTGAAAAATCATATTGAAGTGCCACAATACTCTTTTACGTACATTTTTATACCCCCCAACTTGAAAAGCGGGAGGGTATACGTCTAGCTGCACGTCCGTCCGTCTGTTACGCTGTAGGGTACCCATCTCTTATCCGCAACTCCTCTCATACCACAGAATGAAATTTGATGAAACTTCCACAGAATCTTTATTGCATATTGCCCTTGTGCACCTCCTATTTTACTTTTTGATCCGACACATATTTTGGGTTTCATGTAGCAAACCATGGACACTGCTTTTTTATACATATGGGAGGCGGGGGGTATCATTTAGTGAGCTCATTGCTCACAGTATCTCTAGTAATTTGTTTGCTTTCGCATCATCGATGATTGCTTAATTTAATCCTTTGCGCAATACAATATGTAATTTGTGATAAGACAATAATTTTCTTCACCCACTAAATATTTTTACCTTTATTTCTGAAGAAAACTGTTGTCGTTTTCAGTTAGTACACAGTGCTAAGCAATCACCTGTACTCTTTCATCAATGAAATTTACGATGATCTACATATCAACAATGCAATTTTTAATCTATTTAATCCTACTTTGGATGATTATTTGTAGAGATAAAAATATAAGCAAAAGCAAAAGAATGTCTGTTTTAAAGGGATTTAACGTTGCAGCTATTGCAGAAAAAATAAACCTCTTATGTCTGCAAAAGCTGCCACATTAATTTCCATACTAAAAACCAAAGAAAGGATTTTATTGTTTAAATGAAATATCTACATGCTTATGTAAAAATCCATTTACCTCAACAACTTACTTCAACATCAATTTTGAATGATGTTCTCTTTCTAATTCAAAAAAAGATATGAAATATATGGAGATAAGGAACAGTATTCAAGCTCAAAAGTCCATTAAACTATACAAAATAGGAGCAAAACAAACACGGACCCCAAAACATCAGAAAAGGGATCAGGTGCCACGGAGGAGTGAGCATCCCCTAACGACGGGTCACACCCACCGTGTGCTCCTTGTCATGATCGGGAAATAACAGAAAAATCCGTCGTCAATTCAAGGTGGAAATAATGGACTAACAATAAGTATGAAAATTGTCAGTCAGCATTTGACTCAGTGATAAATTGTATTTGCTGACAAAGTCATTGTATCGACCATAGGACTTACGAAAGGATGACTTTAAACGAGACTGGTGATATTCTTCTTTCATGAACTACATGTAGTTTGCCAATAATTTACCCCTTTTGCAGAAATTGTACATACGTAGAGCATGTTCTTGTGTATCAAATTAACTGAGAGATATAAACTCCGTATGCAGGTGATGAAGGTATATTGCTGCATAAGAAAGGGAAGTTGACGATGGAAAAGTTTAAAGTCATCTCGTTTATTATGGAGCTTGGTTTTTAGATTACCATTAATGTCTTTTTCAAGTAAAATATCCAAATAGGAAACAGATGTGTCAGACTCTGTGGTATATTTTAGTTCTTTTTTCCGGAAGTTCTTATCATACTATTTAAGTTTGGTATTCTATTTCCCCACATTGAATGGATTGATAGTGGTTTTTCACTAAATGAACAATTTTCAATTACCAATGAGTACATTGACAATTAGTATTCAATGACAATTTAAAATAGTTAATAAGTGAAAAGCAGTTGTGAAAATAAATGTGACACACTTCAATGTTAATGCACCTTATTAAATTTTGTCTCCCAGGCTCATCGTACATTTCCAATTTGTTGATAAATATTCGATATTTCTCGTTTGCTCACCTTTTGCACACGGCACTCTCACACAGCCTCGCCCTTTATAAATTGTAAATACTTCGGGAGCCAAGGCGAGAGCTCTTACCTGTACAATTGTATAACAGCAAGCTGGACATAATAAAACTGGATTACCAAACAGGAAGGGGTCTAATTATATCACAATCTATTCAGACTCAAGATGTTTTTATTTATTTATTTTTATTGAAATCAACGTTTGAAGCATAATCAACAAAAAATAAAATTTAACAATTTTTTAGGCATGTATTGATGAATGATATGATGATTTTTTTTGTTATTTCAAGTGTCATGATTGTACGATTGAATGACTTCGACTGAACAAATTTTTAAATTAACTTCAGTGCATCTTTTTACACACGGTTGAATATTAAACAACTAATCTGTGGATATTAATTCTTTAGCTTAGATGCATGTAGACTCCTTTTGTGCTAAAACCTGTTTACCTTAGCAACAGAATAAACATTAATGTTTGTGTAGAGCCTTATTTTGTTTATAATTAGAAATTTATCTATTTATGGTCTAATAGAAAATTACAATGTTGTCTGGTGGAGGGATTAATCTAAAAACAAGATATATTGTTTTTGAATGGGCATTCAAATTGGGCGTTACTGGGCATCATGTAGATGCATTGGAGGAGCTAAGAATATTTCTTTTCAAATATAAAAAAAAATGCACGGAATCATTTATCTTAACAATCAGTTATTTACATTTCGTTGGGCATGACAGGTCAGTGGATGTAAGAAGAATTTATTTTAACAAGATGAAAAAAAATATGAAGGAAACAAACAGTATTCATGCTTATCAGCCTATTGAAACAATACAAATCAGGATTAGGGAATTAACAAAAAAAATCAGTGGTTGGATCACGAGCCACTGAAGAGTAAACATCCCCAATCGATCTGTCACGCCTGCCGTGTGAACCTTGTCATTACAATTTGAACGGTAGTAAATATTCAACTTAATGATAGATCATATGTATTAGATGTATCTGATAAGTTCAGAAAAGTTCAGAAAATGTTTCTATGTAGATCTCACTCTTGCATATCAATCAGCTGGAATAAATAAACTTCATGGATGGGTGATAATTGAATACGGATTGTTAACAATTTAAAACTTAATTCATCGAAAAATTTCAATTAATAACATTCTTTTAAAAAGTATCTTGATTTTTAAGTGTATGTATTTAGTTGCGTTTTAAAAATTCTTACCAGAAGAATGGAAATCTCGATAAAGCCTTTACGAGATGACAGTTTTGCTTAAGATTTAGCTCATTTGGAAATAAAATCTGAACAAATATATCAGAGAGTTTCAGTTTCATCCATTTAAAGAGAGAAAAATAGAGAAACTTTAATTTACAGCGGCACATTTAATACCAATCTTTGGCCATTTTCATTTCATTTTGTAAAACATGAAAACCCTTTAAAGTAAAACATTTATTTTACACCTACTCTTTTCTTTTCATATACCTTCCAGTTTAGTGTTCACTTTGTTACAATGTAGGGGAATAACTCTAACTGGCTTAAACGCATTTACCATTCTGGTAATTTTTGTGTGGAACAGTTATTTTAAAGTTAACGAAGAGTAGGAGTAAAAATTTAATCAAAGTGTTACCTTATTTGAATGTTTCGTTCTTTTTTCAATGGATGAGTCTATATATTTTTTTATATGCCTGTCAGAATTTTATTTCTTGGAGAGCTTAAACATTGAACTGGAAAAATATATTATTAAAATACAAGACTCTGACATTGAACATGAAAAAAAGGATTACTTTTATGTTATATGAAGAACTATTAGGAGACATTTTTATAATAGGAGAAAAATTAAGATTTAATTGTTCATACTAAATAAATAATTCACATTAAGTCAGATAAACATTTGTCAGAAGAGTCTTGATAGAGTTAATCAATGCAAAAATCAAAGGTCTTAGCTATATAGGTGACACAGTGATTCAGAACTTCGCATTTCTCATCCTGCTCGTAAACACTTTTACTTGTCAATACTTCTACCAATAATCGTCTTTTCAATCAGGGGAGTTAGAACTTTAAATGGTGATTTAGCGGTGTTTAGATGTTTTTTTTTCACCGATTTTTCATTTTCGACAGCAATCAGTTATCTTACTGACTTTGTTTTTGAGTCTCAATATGTAAGATAGCACGAAATCCTCAGGACAAAATGTTATGCAATTGCATTTCATTGCAACTACTTATGAAACGTTCTGTACAAGTTAATTTTAAGAATAAAAAAAGCCAATGCGTTTTGCAGTAGTTCTTCAAAACAATGGAGACACAAAAATATGATAAATATATTGCAAACAGCCTCATCAGAAACTACTCAACCAGCGGTTTTGTGTGTTCATTATAAAAAAGTGCAAATTTCAACCTTGAGAGCCATAAATTGCACCAATAAAACATGTACTCTTGGACTCTGGTCTCTAGTGCTACAAAAAAATTGATAAAATTTTAAGGAAGGAACTTTTGTTAAGATTGTTAATCACAATGGAAAAGTCCCGATTTGGTTAAAGATTTAAAAGGGATGTAACAATTTTGTTAGCGTTTCTTCTTGCTTCTCATCTCTGTTAAATGCAGTGCGAAGACATAAAAATGTTTTGTTTTTCTCATTTATTAATTTATTAGAGAGATCAAAAAGATTTTTTGCTTTTCCTGGACTAGTTTCCATAGCTCTTCCATTAGTCGGTGGTGCAGTCTTGATTTTTCTATGCATTCTACATTGCTATTATACGACCCATGCCTTCTTCATTGCTATTATATGGCATGTCTTCATGCTTCCATTCCTGATTATCCAGTATAATAGAATCAGATCATGGAAATCTATCTTATCCAGTCATGTGCAGCAATAAGTAATGATGGCAGATTCAGTTACATATATTTAGTTTCATTTACAGACCAAACTGGTCTGGTCTGGTATTGTTATCAGATGTTGCTGAAATATTGGGATCCCTGCTTGTCTTTCTAATCAACTGCAGTATATTCAGTATCTTGCAAAAGGAGTAAAGTGAACAAGGAGTAAACAAGTACATGTACAAGGATTATTTATCAAAATAAAAGTACAAGGATTATTATATCAAAATAAAAATAAAGCAGGATAGGTGTCTGAAAA